CTCTGAGTTGTAGTCAACTACTAAGCTCAGATTTAGGTTTGTGCATGATTTTGTGCATGTTTCTCATCTATATTCACATATATACATTGGATTGATCTCAAATCAATCCCTAGCATACTCAAACATCAAATATGTCATTTATAACCATATAACATATTTATTACCATTTATTATAATTTATTCAATCTTTTGGGGTTTTACACTTCATTAACCTAAAATTTAAGATAAAAATAATTATTAGTGGTATATTTATTCATGTAAAATAGATAACGAGAGTATAAAATTTTAATAAAAATATGATTATCATTCTGCTTTTTAGATTGGGAGATATCACCTTTTCTTTATGGTTGACCATCCTAAGCGCGATATTTTGACTTTGTTTCTTTCTAGATTTGATTTAATTCTCAATTGAAAGTCAAGTTATTAATAATTATCAACCAAGAAAGTGATGAGTGTTAAGATTTTACTTCTACACTTAGTCATGAGATTTGGATTTAGGCATCTTAGGGTTCATTAAAGATCTCTTGGGCTCAAAATTATTTTTATTTGAGCTCTTATTCAATAATTCTTTATTATCTGCAAATTAAGACAAAAAATATTATTAGGAGATATGTTTATTCAAATAAAATAGATAATGAGGGTACAAAAGTGTAATAAAATATAATGATAATTAGCTCTCTCTATTTTTTAAACCACTCAATTCACAAAGGGATTTTTTTTATAAACCCAAAGTTTTATCGCATTTACTTTTAAACCCACTTGCATTTAAAATCACTCTACTCCATGGAATTAATTTTAAACAAACTTGTAATTCATCAGTTTGATATACGGTATAAGTTGTTATATTTTAGAGTTTTTTAATTAGTAGTCCCTAAAATCTTCCATGTTTTTAAATTTGTCCATCAAATCATTGAAATTTCTATTAGGTCCCAAATTTTATATTATTTTGAAATTAGTCTCAAATCAATTGTAAAATCATCAATTAAAATTATTAATTTGAAACAAACTATGTGAAATGGGAATGTAACAAAAACTTTGATGATTTGAGGGACTAATTTCCTTCTAATTGTTGCATTTTCTCTTGATTAAGAGCACTAATTTCAAAATAACTTAACAATTGGGGGATCAAATAGCAATTTTAATGATTGGAGGGAGTAATTCAAGATAACTTAAGAACTGAGAGAGCAAATAACAATTTCAATGATTTGAGGGACTAATTCAAAATATTCAAGATTAAGGGACTAAGTGAAAAAAAATCAAACCCCATATTTATCATTACTTGCTACATAAATACTGTCTATTTTGAAACCAAATGTTTAATCATTATTTTTGTCCCTAAGTTGCTTTATTTTATTGTTACTTGCTATATAGATATAATTTAAACCAAATGTTTAAGCTGTTATTTCTTTTGGTTCTTTTTCATACTAATGACATGGTTTCACAAGTAAAATATGGGTTTTTTTTGCTTATGAACCCAAAATTTTATCCTCGTATTCACTTATGATAAGGTTTGTTTTTGTCCATAAATCTACACTCTAAACCTTGTTTATTTGTAAACCCAACCACTTCCAAACTTACCATTATTTGTGAAATACTTCACTATATATTTCAACAGTCTAGTATAATAGTGTGAGTTGCTATATTTTGGTTACAACTTACTATATTATTTATTCGGATTTGTTAGATATATAATACAACTTTAAACCAAGTGCTAAACTGTTATTTTTTTTGACATTTCCCCTCTCAATGTCAATGTGCGCATCAGTTTTGCTCGGGTCCAACTATTCACACTCCCAAACAGTAACTTTGGTGGTGTGTGAGGTCTAAATTGTCCTTCTCCCAAACCAAAACAGGCCAAGTCCATTCCAGAAACACCCTCAACATCAAAAGGGCATTTTTGGCAATCTAACTCTCAAAATTACTGTTTGGGAGTGGATATAGCAAACATGGTTTTGCTCGTTGACTTGATTATTATAATTAAAATTTCGTAAGCATGGGATGAATTTGGGCCCATTAGTCTAAGAGAGCTTGGGTTTTGGCTCGAACTGATATAATCTGAATCTTATGTACTGCTCTATATTTAAAAGAGAATCTAAAGAATTACTGTTTATATTATACTAAAAATACTAAAAAAATATTGTATCATAAACATGAAATCAAGCCTGGTCCTCTATACTCGAAGTTATTGTTCATGCTACAATAATTTACTGTAGCATAAACAGTAAATCAAATCTGCCCCTCCATACTTGAAATTATTATTCACACTACAATATTTAATGTATCATAAACAGTAAAGCAAATTAAATATATTAAAACTTGGATCATTCTTTAAGCATAGAGGAGTAGATATGATTTCTAAATTAAATGTATTAACACTTGAATCATTCTTTTAAGTGTAGAGGAGTAGATATAATTTGTAATTTTAAACAGATAATAATTAAATTAAATGTATTAAAATTTAGAAGAAGGCAAATTTAAAATGCAGTGCTTAAAAATAGCATGGGGTGCACATTAGTTAAAATTTAAGCTGGTTGAGACTAGGGGTGGAAATGAACCAAATAATTAACAAATAGTTTGATAGTTGTTCGGGTAACTATTCAGTCATATTCGATTCGGTAGTTCATTTGCCACTAAACAAATAATTTTTAGTATTCGACTTTACTAACAAATAGAATTTAACTAGATGTATATTCGATTTGTTTGTCTATCAAATATTCGTTTAAAATTTGATCACTTATTATTTGTATTATTACACATATGATGTCATATTTTTAACACAGTTATAATTTCTACTCAATTTTTATGTATTGATTTTAAGACTTAAATAATCTTAAATCTGTTTTCTAATAAAAATTTTGATTGAAATATATATACATCACATATTATAAAGAATAAGTTTTACTTATGAATTTGAATAACAACTCAACCTTTATCCCAAATGTTTGGGGTCAGCTACATGAATCATATTTTTTCATTTTATTCTGTTGTGGGTCATTTCCTCCGTTACGTTAGTCTTAATTATATTCTTCTTAATTGCTTCTGACCAAGTCATTCTAGGTCGATCTCTAGATCTTCTAACCCCATTAACTCTAATATTATCACTTTTCCTAATCGGTGCATTAATGGGTCTCCTTTGTACATGACCAAACCATTTTAATCTATTGTTTCTCATTTTATCCTCAATAGGCGTAATCTCTAATTTATTACGGATGCATTCAATTCTTATCCTATCTTTTAATGTATACCCACAAGACCATCACAACATTCTTATTTCTACTACAATCATTTTAAGAGCATGTTATTTTTTAATTGCCTAACATTCTGACCCATAAAGCACAATTAGTCTTATAACCGTCCTATAGATTTTTTTTCCTTTAGTTGCATTGGTATTCTACGATCACATAAGACACCCGAAACACTCCTCCATTTCAACCATACCGATTTGATTCGATGCACAATTAATATTATCATGTATCTCACAATTATGCCTAATAATAGATCCTAAATAGCGAAAATGATTAGTTTTAGGTATTTCTTGGCCATCAATATGTACAATAGGCTATATTTCTTTCCTACTTTTATTAAAAATGCATTACATAAATTCTGTTTTTTTCCTACTAATTCTAAAACATTTAGACTCAAGAGCTTGTCTCCATCTTTCTACTTTGGAAATAATGTCTCTTCTAGTTTCATCAACTAATACTATATCATCAGCAAATAACATACACCATGGAATTTCATCTTGAACATGCTTAGTAAGTTGGTCCATAACTAATGCAAAAAGATAACATACACCATGAATTTGAATAATATTTGAAATTAAATTTTTTAGAAGAATAAATATATCTTAATATTCGTTAAGTATTCGTAAATATTCATGAATATTTATCAACTACCAACTATGTTGCCTAGGTACGGGTACGGGTGCGGGTACGGGTACGAGTACTGATACGGGACACAGCAAATTTGTAAAAAGTAGGGTACGGGGACACGGCTATATATATATATATATATATATATATATATATATAAACATATTTGTATTTGTTAAGGGGCTTGCTGCAAAAAAAGAATTGATGAGGGGTTTATGGAAATATTAGCACATAGTATATAAAGGAAAAAAAAAGAAGATCAACTTCTCCCAGCCCTAATTCTTCCGCTGCCCTTTATCTCCTCTTCGTTCTCTCCCATTCGTTCTCTCCCAGCCCTAATTCTTCCGCCGCTCTTTATCTCCTCTTCGTTCTCTCGAGAAAAAAAATGCATGATGGCTGGAAGAGGGCGCATGGAACCAGCCCCAACTTTCGTCGTCGAGGAAAAATGAGAAAAAGGAGAGGCGCTGATCTTGTCGTCGAGGAAAAAGGAGAAAAAGGAGAAACAACAAAAACAAAACCCTAAAAATCAAACCTGTCTTCGAGCAGAGGCGCTGATCTCGTCGTCGAGGCGTTGATTCGTCGTCGAGGAGCTGATTTCGTCGTCGAGGCGCTGCAATTGACCCGACGCCTTGAGATCTAGAATCCGTCGTCGCTTCCGTTGATGTGTTATAAGGTTCGTAACTTTTTTTTTCAAGTTCGCAACTTTTTCCCCCTCATTCTTGTGAAATCGCCGTGTCCCTGCCGTTTGGGTGCGGATCCGCACCCAAAACGTACCCGACACGGGTACGAGACTTAGTTTGCCGTGTCGGGGTAACATAGACTGCCAAGTATTTGAGATCGAATTTGAAAAACTTCATATATAAATATTAAAATCCATATTCGAATTCGATAATTTTAAATAAATGTTAGTATTCGATTCGTAAATATTCATGAATATTTAACGTCGCTGGTTGAGACGCGATCGTATCCAAGCTCGGTCGACCCAATTCACATTAGGTGCATTAATTGGTCTGATCTAGTCCACTAGTTTAAAATTCAAAAAATAATAATTAGAGAGGTCTAGAACTCCGAAACGTAGTTGGTCCACGCCCAACTCTCTTCTATAAATACCCCCAATCGGTCTTATCCGCTCCTCCACCTGCCCCTAATTATTTGATCTTCCCCAAATTTGTAGGGTTTTCAAAATCTTCCAGGGTTTTCTCGATGGCCACCGCGACCGAATCGAAGAAGATGATCACGCTGAGGAGCTCCGACGGCGAGGAATTCGAGATCGAGGAGGTCGTGGCCATGGAGTCGCAGACGATCAGGCATATGATCGAGGACGAGTGCGCTGAGAGCGGGATCCCGCTCCCCAACGTCAACAGCAAGATCCTGTCGAAGGTGATCGAGTACTGCAAGAAGCACGTCGACGCTGCTTCCGCTAAGACCGACGATAAGTCCGGCGATGAGGAGTTGAAGGCTTGGGATGCCGATTTCGTCAAGGTCGATCAGCCTACGCTGTTCGATCTCATCCTGGTTTGTTTTCTGTCTTTTGCGCTTTGATTTTCCTGGGTTTAGGTTTGATTTGTGATCTTTAGATCTGTTGCTTTGTTGCTTTGATTTCTGTGGTAATTAGATGTTGTTCCGGTTAACTTGTGATTTGGTTCGCGTTATCTGCAATTTTAGGGTTTGGTAGCTATTGGTATTCATTACCTTCAATTTTTGGGTTTTATACATTGATTAGTACCATGATAAATTTCTTTCCATATAACTATTATATGAAGTAATTGATTTAAGTCTTGTAACTATCAAGTTGCTAGAGTAACATGAGAATATGAATCTAGTTTTAGTGCTTGATCAAGTCACTTTTGGGCATAATATTTATGGTTTCATGCAGCAGTTTTGCAGGTTGATGCATTAGGGTATTTTGCTTATCCAATTTGTTTTCTTCAAATGAGAAATATTTTGTCATTGTTATTTGATTGTCTATTTTGTATCTTGTTTGTTTTAGATATCGATTATGTAGTTGATTTGCTCATTCTGAAAGAAGAATTAGTGATTTTTTCATAATGCCTATTATAACTTCACCAATTGCTTTGGTACCTGCATTGACTAACCTCTTTTCAGCTGTATATTTGCATGTCATTTTTATTATGGTTTGGAGCTATGGTGTTAGATCTAGTTCATTTGCTGGTCTCTGTATCTATAAAGTATTAGAATGCAAGTTAATTTACTTGCGAGGTTGCATGGCGACTGAATTTTTTTTTTTTGTGCAATACAACTTGCTCTTTATCATTACTTTATTTGTTTCATACTAGAATGGCTCTCATATTGATGGTCTGATAGTTGAGGTGGTTACTTGTTATGTTGAATAGTTCATGGTTAATAATCTTTTGAAAAGCAGGCCATAAAATAAACTTTTTCTAAGTGATTGTAAAAATACCTTATCACTAAATATCAGATAAGTGTTTTAGATTAAGAAATATTGATAAAATTGCACTCAGTATTGTGTTGTTAATTCAGAACCTTAGCGTAAAAGTGTCCCTTTTCCAAGAAACTATTTTTCAGTCTTTAGACACCATAAAAGGCAAGGCTCTTAATTGGCTGTTCCATCGTATAAGTTTTAAGTATTTGTTGTTGAACCTGTTTGTTTTCTCTTGCTGCTACTAACCTTTTGCAACTAACCTTTTGTTCACGAAGATTGGTTGCCCTTGCAATCTGATTGCTTTCAGATCTTAATGAAAATCTAGCACCACCATTTTGTTCCCTTTCTTACCTTCGTCTCGCTAGATCACATTGTCATTGCATGTGAATGAAATGTATAATGTGATTAGTAGAACCGTAGAACCACTTATTATTTCCAGTTTAAAAGTTCCAAACCATTGAATCCGGTATCATTCTCTGCTTTCTTACATTATTATATTTCATAATAATATAGTGCTCATTATAATGCACTTAAATCGCTGGGGGATGTTTCAACTTTCAACTTTACACACTGCGTTCACTATGGATGACTATCACTGCTCACTCATTGTGCTACTATGTCTCCTCATGTTCTTCATGGTCTATATTTATATCTGTAATAGTACCATCCTTTGGGAGATTGTGTGCCATAGGTCCCAATCTCAAAGCACGGAGTAGATGATCCGCGATAGTCATTTGTGTTTCTTTCCATTTGTGTGTGTTAGATAAATATAGTCCATTAGATAATGTAGGTTAAATGTGTTAAAGTAGTAGTGTTCATCTGCACTTTCTCATCATTAGATTTTCAGATTAGGTGGTTAGTATGGTTGTAATTGACTGGGAGCTGTCATATAGTGCATCTATAGCTTATGTGGAATCTCTTTATTCATAGGGAGAAGCGTTTGCAGTGCCCTATTAGTTAATCTGATATCTCGCTGTTATATTATTAGTTTCAAAATTCCAGGGATTTCCTGTAAAACCAGGGCTATATGTACATGCACTTGGTAGGGCTTTATGGTGTTCTTATGCTAGAAGCAACATGTTCTGAGCTTCTGGATATGTCTGACATGATGAAAACCGGCTATTTTGTGTTGCTATCAATATGTTCATCGCACCCTTGTAATTGGAGCTTCTGCAATAACACAGGGAAGCAGAATAATCTTTATAATATGTTCTTTTCCTTCAAACCAAGCGTTTAACAGTTTCCGGTTATTGGTTTATCTCTTGTGGTATCTTAAATATCAGGAATGTTTAGCAAGGCATGATTAAGACATTTGAAGTTATGCTCATGTTCCTAGATGGTTTTGTTTTCTTATGTTTATGAAAATTTGATAATCATTGTTTTGTGCAGTAAAAAAAAAAGGAACTAAGTATGCCACCTAAATTTTAGAAAAATGAAATTAACATCTTCTAAGTAACTATGTAATTATTGAAATTTTCTCTTGGCTAAACAAAGGACTTGGCTTATCAACAGTTCTTAGCACTGAAACTTTTTTGATTCAAAAATTGCATAACTCCAACTGGTCGGTTAATACTGAATGCCAGAGATTAGGGCTAAGAGGGGCTTATGTATAGTGATCATGTTGCATTCAATGTTCCCTTGTGCACAATGTTGCATTCAATGTCCTCTTGTACACAATGTATACTCGCATAAGAGAGGGTTATGCGAGGTGATCATGTTGTATCTACGTTACGTGGGTACTTCTATCGTGTAGCCGCAACCGTACTTGACATGTTAGTACTTGTACGGAAACTTCTTGGACACTTCATTCAGTCAGGTGTATGCTCAATTATATTGTACATGTTCTAATTTTAAACACATACGCTTCTTTGACGTATATTCTACACATCTATTTCTTCTACATTGATCTTATGTAAAATGAAAAAAAATATTGATCTTGTGTAAATTATTAATTTTAGTACATATACTTAACATAGTGTGTATCTATACCCTATCTTTTACAATTTTGTCGTGTCATATACCTGTACTCGTTATACTACCCATACCCGTACCGATATCTGTGCAACTTAGTGTTGTATTGATTGCTTTCTCGTCCTGAATGAATACTTGTCATATTGAACATTTTAACAATTAATGCCTTGTGGTACAGATTGGCTCGACTTTGTAGGGGTCTATTATCTGCTTGCTTATGATTACGGTTACAATTTTTCTTTTAATACAAATAATTTTTTTCTGAAATGTTAAAAGCAAATGTAATGTGTATTGAGGTTAAGTAAAAAGTCTGGAACTGGACAAAGAATGAAGATGCGACCATAATTCTTTTTGTTCTCTGATCTAGTAAGCAAGAGTCAATTTTTCTTTTGCTTTTATTAGAATGGTTTAGATTATTGTCTGATAGTGTTCATGATTGATGCTTAGGCTTGTATATGCTTCATTTGCTTTATTTCGCATGCACATTATATAGAACATTTCCCCTGGTTCTCCTGCTGCATTACGTAGATTGTTTTCTAGCTTTTGTGGTTGTGTGATGCATGCATGGTGGTTTTAAGATACAATATACATTGACTTCTATAATATATATCAATCTTCTACTCTCTCTCTCTCTCTCTCTCTCTCTCTCTCTCTCTCTCTCTCTCGGTTAAGGACTCGCTGTCAAACAATGTGAAATCAAGAGTTGATATTTTTTCTGATAAGTATATCAATGCTATGCCAATATTTGGATATGAGCTGAATTTGCTGATTAACTAATTTTTCTATATGATTATTATAAACAGATTCATATTCTTGTATATGATGCATTCTCTTCATTCAGGCATTATAGTAGGATCACCCTTGATTTTCTTAAGACACGCATCTGTGGTTTTCAATTTCGTTATTGGATGCACAATTTTTTTATTAATTTTTACAGATGTGAAAATTGATATATATACCAAGAAGGAAAAACAACATTCTTAACACATTTGCCATCTATACCAAGAAGAAAAACGTGAATAGTAAATATAAGCAATTAAGCTTGGATAAATTTGAACCCTGGATAAATTTAAACATGCAGCTGAACCTTGACAGTGTCATAGATCCTAGACTTAGCCTTTAGTTTTTCTCGTGGATGAGGAAGTTTTTTACTTAGTTCTTTGTACCATGGAACATCTGTTTGATATCTGCATGTATATGATTAATCATTTGCGAGCTAGACTAGACATGTAGTCAGATAATACACTTTCCTACTTATTGTTGCCTTTTGAATTATTTTGTTCATGCTTGTTGTGTTGGATTGGGGAAGTCTTCATCTGATCTTACTTTTGTCCCTATTACTCCAGGCTGCGAACTACTTGAACATAAAGAGCTTACTGGATCTCACCTGTCAGACTGTTGCTGATATGATCAAGGGGAAGACTCCTGAAGAAATTCGAAAGACTTTCAACATCAAGAACGACTTCACCCCTGAGGAAGAGGAGGAGGTTCGCAGGGAGAACCAGTGGGCCTTTGAGTGAGGGCCTTCATGCTTCATTTGGTGCTTTTGTCTAGTCTCCGATGCTTTATCTTAGTTTGGTTAAGTTGCTGGTTTATAGGAGTTGGGTAAAGGGAAAAAATGCTAACTTTGTCACTTGAAAATGCTTTCCATTTATATCGACTTTTATATGTAAATATGAAGAAGCTCTTAACTTTAAGCTCTCTGTTGTTCAATCGTTGCATTCTGGTTTGTATGGTTCTGGATCCTCTGATGGTGTCTTACAAATATGATGGAGCTCGGAACTTCAAGTTTTCTATTCTTCAGTTTCTACATTGGTTTGGTTTTTATGCTTCTGATTGTTTCTGATGATTATCTGCCCTCGGTTTTTTAAACTCAGTACCATGGGGGATTTATACCATCACCGATGGTCTTGGCGAAACTACCTTAAGCAAATGATAAAAATTTAGCGGCTGGCTACCTAAGGCATGCTTTCGTAGAATACAGGGCGGTTGATTGCATTTGTGTTTTTCCCCATCCATAATTGCTGTCATATTGTTTTCATACTGTTTTCATGCCTGCTAAGAATGCTGTCATATTGTTTCATGCCTGCCTAAAAGCTTAGGAAAATTTTGTTAGCTCTCCTATGATTTACAATTATGGAATTATTCTCAAATTGTTTGTTACTTGCATTAGCTGCAATTTTGTTCAGGTACTTAGGAGTCCATGCAATCTTAGCTTTCGAATGTAATTGTTCCTTTGAGCTATGCGAGCCACAATTTGGAAGCCTACGCAGGAGCCAAGACAGTGCGCTAATATAATCCGTTATTTTTCTTCATTACATCATGGCAAGCTGATGATTATTCGGGAAGAGTACAATATTCTGCAGGTTCACTCCGAATCGTAAACAGCATTACGTGCAGCACGAAATACTCTGAAAGTGTACGTTTGCAGTGTCATAAGCGGGGTTTCATATCAGCTGGGCATTCTCTTATTTATCAGACCATACATATTCGTGGCTCACCTTTCAGGCAGTCGACACCACAAATGGGCTCCTAACTTTATGAGTTCCGTCAGACCAAGTGACCGAACCAAAGAGATCGCCTTTAAGCGAAGAGCTTGAAGCAGAAAATGCAACTTGGTAGCTCAGCTTTTTCACATTCTTTGTGAACTGAAGCTTATCAGGTACCACCTTCACATCCAGTCCGGGGGGCGAGTTGACGGTCGCGACGTACGTAGTTCCTTCTTCTTCATCGACGTTAGTAACTATCCTGCTCACCGTCTTGCTCTCCTTCCCGCGGAACTTTGAGATGGATATTGATGGGTAATTGAGGTTAGATATCAGGTCCACACTGGAATTTTTCGGGCAATGAAATCCATCTGGAAGTGTCTTTGCGATCTGCTTAATGTCGGTGGTGTTGTATCCGTAGTTGCATAAAAACTGCAAGTAGTCTTCAGGACCTGCTTCATACACAAGACCTGGTTGCAGTGCGCTGTTTGGATTCACTTCTCCTGCTCCGTAGTCATAAGGTGTCGCTACTGAGCCTGAGTCTGTCGATAGAGGTGCCTTGTCGTTGTTCACTAGATTCGCTGTTTGATTCATTGTTAGTTGCATAGAAAAATATTTAGTGGTTATTCGTTTCATTGCAATTGTAACCTACGTGCAACTAAGTCATCTTTTTGACCAGTTGATTGTTTGTTCCCTTTCTATAGCTAAAATATTAAAGTTACAGCTACAGTTGTAAAGGGCCTTCAGGTGCATCTCATGTCTCAAAGTAGATTTAAAAGCAAGTCCCAGTTGCAACCTTTTTTAGATTTACCTTTGAACTTTGACGACAATTCCAAAAAACTCAATTCAAATTACTCACAACTGTCAATTCAAAAACTCAATTCCTTTAACAAACATCGATGTATATTAAACTATAAATTTTTTAAAATTGAAGCTTAATAATTGCGGCAGCTGCTTGCAACTGACACCTACATTCACAGTAACAGTCACGACTAACCAAATAACCCCTTAATCTTTCTACATGCTATGGGATTAATATGATACTAACCTGTGGTCATGATCGCCGATCGAACTGCTGAAGGACTCCACGAAGGATTCCAAGACTTTATCATGGCAGCGACCCCTGCGACATGAGGACAGGCCATCGAAGTTCCAGAAATCAGATTGAACGCCGAAGGTTTCTGGCCTGCTGGGATTTGTGATGACTCGTTCGTCGGTATCCATGATGCTAGTATGTTCACCCCTGGAGCAGCGATGTCGGGCTTTAGCATGTTGCTTGTTTGAGCTGAAGGGCCTCTGGAAGAGAAATAGGCCACCGCAGGTGCTGGCTTATACTTCTCGACAGTGATCGATGGTAGAATTGTAGCCATGGGATTCCTATAACAAAAACAATGCGTTGGTGACTGTACAATTGATTATCAAGAACTCAGGTGCTTACTTTGTTGAGTTGACGTAAGCGAAGATATCATCAGCTGCTTTTGCAGAGATCTCGGTTACTGGAAAGGAAATGTAAGGAGTAATTTTAGACTGTTCTGTCTCATCTGCCATGATGGCTCCAACTGCTCCTGAGCTCTGAAGATCATCTGCCTTCGAACTCCTTGATGAATCGCTTTGTGAGTGCTTGCAGAGAACTATTTTCCCTTTGATCTTGCTCCCATCCAACGAACCAATCTCACAATGCCTGTCAATAAAAAAGACTACACGAGTAAGATTTGGATAACTAAGGAAAGTTTGGAAGCACAATTCAAGTCATTTTACGCTGCATCATCGCTCGAGCTTGAGTTAGATTTTGCTGATAGACCGGCTATCAAAGGATAAGATGCCGTCTTCGAAAGGTTAGAGAAATTTATGGCTTCCCCCTGTAACAATAAGCAACTTATATGTTATAGCCATTCATACGTTTTAAAGAGTAATAACTGGGGCTAGTGCTTTTCTCCAACACAATTAGCTGACTTGTCATTGATATGACCACATCTAGAGGTTCACATATGTGCGCTACATCAACGACACACCAGCTAATCTATTGGATTAACATATCAACTCTCATTTACTATGTTTTCTTAAGTCGGAAAAATCGCAAGAAGCTATCATAAGCTGTTATTGATTTTGCATGAAACCAGATCTGAATTACGTTTACAAAGATCAGATTATAGTTAAATAAACTACATGACTGCAATTAAAGCTGCCCAAAATAATTGTCCATATAAAAATTTTCACCGTTCGCAATTTAAGATATGATAGAGTGGAAAAATAGCTTCATCTAGAAAAAGGTTTTGAAACAGTTAATTGTAAAATGCTTGACGATTCGTATACATTAGCCCCCTGTAGACGCTACCAATATTACGGAAAACGAACGACTCCGTACCTTCACAGCTTTGTTGTTCCCTCCCAAGACAATATCCGACTCAAAATGCCGATCAATAGTCGTAGCAGCGACAGTCAAAATCCACGGCGCCGCATTCACCACAGTCCCCACCTCCGGCCCATCGTTCCCGGCCGAACAAACCACCGTGATCCCCTTCGCAACGGCGTGGAACGCACCAATCGCTATCGGGTCGCTCGAAAAGTCGGGCCTGAAGAACGCCGACGCACCAATCGATATCGACAACAGATCGACGCCGTCGGCCACGGCGTCGTCGAAGCCCGATAACAGTGCGGAGCCCGGGCAGCCTGAGGATCCGCACACCTTGTACATCGCGATTCTGGATGAGGTTGAGCCGCCCTTGGCGGTCCCTGGGGCGAGGTCGTAGTAGGATGCGTCAGTGACGGGGGAGCCGGCGGCGGTGGATGATGTGTGGGTCCCGTGGCCTACTGAGTCCCTCGGTGATCCTAGGGAAGAAGTATGCACTGAATCTGCCAGGTTTTTGTAGTATCTTGCACCAATTAGCTTCCTGTCATAGATATGAACTTATTGAAGTTGAATGAATACAAAGTAGGGTTAGTTGTAGATAAACCCCCTGAGTGAATTTTTTTTAATTACTTGTTTACCCTCAGAGAAAGAGGAATCTATTCTTTGACAAGTAGACCTTGTGAGGGTAACAGAGCCAACAATATTTCACTCGTGGGGTCTATCTGCAATTGGGTGACAGAAAGAGTTCTATCCGCAATGAACTCTATGAAGTATTATTCTGGAAAGGA